TTTAATAAATAAAATTCGTATAGCCACTTCAATTAATTGAAAAAAAGCTATGATAATAATGATGATCTCCAAAGACATTTCCATTCTACTAATTAATGGAAAAGTGTTTCATGAGTCAGGCACAAGAGCCCGTTTGACCTACAAACATCCAGCCGATATCTAAAGTGTATTGTCCATAAATAAGATATAGATTGTGCATAAACAATACTAAAAAAAAACTTATATTTTTAATTTTAAAATTTTATTTTTCTTTTCATATTCATGACCATTTTGGCTTAAATGATGAATCTGAAAAACTAAAAAAAAGAAAAAAAAAAAAAAAGACATTATTCTTTAAAAATAAATTTTAGTGGGGGGCCATGTACATATGAGTCGAGCCGCTCATAGAAAGCCCATCCATAATTATTATCTACATTTTCTCCACTACTTTTGTTATGATGAGTCTAAATCAGGAGTCAAAGCACTTGGTCCCTTGTATCGTGTGCCAAACGGTGGGGGAGCCTTTGGACACCCAATGACTTCAAATATAACCAGTCAAAAAACCTGAGGAAAATAATAATAAATAGCCCTCTTTTCTTTATTGAAACTTGAACACAATTAAATCTCTCTCTCTCTCTCTCTCTCTCTCTAAAACCAAGCATAAAATGGGGAGAGAGACCTCAAAGAGTGAGTCATTCCATGCTCTAAATTTGGGGATTTTTCTTTCTTTTCTTGCGGCTAGATTGGTTCCAACTAGTCTAAAGGGCAAGAGGCCAAGGTGAGTTACCCTGTGCTATTTTAAATATAAATGTTACAAAAATCATTAAAAAGTTTTGAAATTTGGAATTGCACCGGTTTAAATCAGTGAAGATTATTTGGGTTTTGTGAATCTTTGAAACTACTCAGTTAAGTCAAAAGCAGAAGGAAAAAAAAGAAAAGAATGTGTTTTTTTGTGACAAGAACTTGATGACACCAAAGGAGTGAATCTAGGAAGGATTGGATCCATATAATTAAGGAGCTTAAAGCAGTGGCTCACTTTTTATTTCTTATTTCAAATACAAAAAAGTGGAGAAGTTCTGAAAAGAAGAAAAAAAGTTGGGGATAGAGAGAGATATGTTGCATGCAGTTCCTTTTTTATTAACAGTAGTTTTTTTTTTTTGGGTAAATAAGTAGAATAATGTATGAGTTTTGCAAATCAGTCTATGACGATCCCACTCTTGTTTTATTTGTAATTTATCTACGTTGTAGTTATGTTGTTTTTCTTCCTAGCTAATTGCTATGCAGATTTATCGAATATTGTATATAAAGGGACTATTTATTTTTGGTACAAAGACATAGAGTTACTCTTTCCCATCATAGTTCAAATTGGGTGGTTGTAAGAGTATACCACAAAGTAGACTCAAAGTTTAATAAAAACAAATTGGACCAAGCCAATTAATTTGAATAATTGTGGCCTCTTTATACCAAAGATAACGGTTTTATAGTATATAATATCTTTTTTTAAGTAAATTTTTATGTTTATTTTCATTGTGATGAACTGATAATGCCCTCTCTCTCTTGTTCATACTTCGTGATGATACTCTCTTCCTATCCTTTCTCTCTCTCTTTCTCATTTCCATCGCTCTCTAAGATGCATGCCTCATGGTGATGCTCTCTCTATTTTAGTCATGGGGAGAAAATGATAACCCCAATGGAAAGATGTTGACGATCCCAAAGAAAATATATGTCTCAATGCGTCTTAGGAAGAAATGAGCTTTTTTTTTCTCTTTAGGGATGAGTAAAGAGTTGATATTTTAATGTGAAACTCTATAATGTCTGAAATAATAAAATATTTGTCTTCTTTCATCATCATAATCTCTCTTTTATGTGTGATTTATTTAGAATTGGGCTGAGCAACAGGCTCGGCTGGTTTTGGTCCAGCCAGGTTGGTGGTCCATAATAGTTGGCAGGCCTTTCTACTGGATTTGCCAGTGCTACAAGGCCATGGCTAGGCCAGCAGGCCTATTGCCAATTTCATTTAGAGTTTTTTTTTAGAGCTACTTGTGGTCGCTGGGCCAGTGTACTATAGTTTAGTATCACAAAACCACTATTATACTCTATCAATGGCCATATTCTCAGTGAGACCAAATCTTTATATATTTTCTCAATACTTTCGACGGTCATATTCTCAGTAAGATCAAATTTTTATATATTTTTCAGTACTTCCAAATACGTGAGACCAAATCTTTATATATTTTCTCAGTACTTCCGAATATGTACGCATAATTCATGAGGTATTGTACCTCTCTCTAAGATCCTCTTTGAAATTCTGCACAATAAAAGGGCTCGTATTTTTTCTCTCTCTCTCATCGTTTTCTCTGTCATCTCTCTTCTCAATCTACTTTTTCTCTCAGCTCAGCAATAAATAACATCACCATCTGCAATTTCCAAGACTTCCGAGTGTTCAATTTCCATTATTACCCCTCCCTTTCTCACTCTCTCTCTCTCTCTCCTCGATTTTCCATCTCTCTTTTCTCACTACCTCTCTCTCGGTGGTTCATTCCACGAATCGACCGTGTAAACCAAGCCATGCTTGGGTAACCCGAAACCGGTCAGGTAACCAGTTTTGGTTAGACAAAAAATATATTAAAAAAATAAAAATATATATATTTAATAAGATTAAAAAACAGTTAAAAAAGTAGTGAAAATAGATTTTTAAAAATCAATTTGTGATCAAAGATATTTTTAAAATAATCTAAATGAAAAAATATAAAAATAAGTATTTATAACCAAAATACTTTTTATTTCTTTGCCAAAACGATAAACTATACTTTTTATTTTTTTGATTTCCAAATTGAACACCCAACTTGAAAATTCTCGGTGGCAAGCCGGAGTTACTTAGTATAGTTTGAGCATAGTTGCCCGATCAGTTGAAGACTGATCTGTTGTCATTGTTTCGCTTGTGTTTAAAAAAACCTAGGATTGGTGAGCCGGATCGGTTAGCTGTTTGACCGATTTTAACTATGGATCTACGCAGAATCAAACAGGCTTTCACACCTAAGAATCAATTCGAAAAAATAAATAATTTCTACCTTAAAAAAGATTTGACCTTTGAAAAAGATTATAAATTAAAACAAATAATAAAAATAAAAGAGAAGGGAGCTTAGAAATTCGATGCATCCAAAACTCGGAGTTCCCGACAAACTCGCCATTTTCTGCTCAATAATTTCCGATTCAGAATAAAAGTACGCTCCTATCCGAATACAAAATGAGTTTTTTCCATTATTTCTCTCTCTCTCTCTCATCGTTGCACATCGTTTTCTACTTTCCACTTTGAACATGGTTTTAATTCGACAGCTAAGTCTCGACGGTTTTTATTAGAGGAGATAGCTTCGAAGAAAACGGGTCTCCATATCAACCGTCCATTTACTTTCTTTTAACGCCTCCATCTACGTATAAAAAGCCACCATGCAAATCGGGCCGTCCACTTTGCCTGCGAAATCTACGCCGAAATTTTCGTATTACCATATATTGAACGAAAGAAGCCCTCTCTTTTTATTCTCTTTTGACTCCCGTGATTCTGGAGAGAGGGAGGTTTAGAGAGGGAGGTTTAGAGAGAGAGAAAGAACCACAGTTTTAGAGAGAGACGGATAGGTTTTTAGAGAGAGAGAGTTGTTCCTCGTTCTTAGACGGCCGGATTCTCTTTCTCTGGTATATTCATTTGCTGGAAAAAGTGGCTGGAATCTCTTGGTTGTACTTGTAAGTAATGGACTCTCTGCTTGGTTTTTGCCGGCAATATGGTTGGAATATTCAGTTTCTTGGTTCAGAGCTTAGTTTTCGCCGGAAAATTGGTCGGAATCTATTCTTTTATGATCGGACTTTGTTGTTTCATCTTTTGTTCAAGTTTCTGGTGGAAAAAAGATGGATTTCTATTTTTCTTGTAAGGTGTTTATCAAGAATTCAGCTTTGCGTATTTTCTAAAACAGAAGAAATTTGAATTCCTGAAACCCACCAAAAAAAACAACAGTAATGAGACTTATATTTGTGCATCAGGAATTCATTTTGTGTGTGTTTTAATACCAGGAATTCATTTTTATCATTTTATGCGTCAGGAACCCATTACTGTGTGTTTCCATCAATAAGTTTTGTTTATTTGCCGTGGATTTTTTTTATTAGGTTTGAACTTTATGTTGGAAATTATCGGTATGAATAAATTTATTTTCTTTATTTTTTTGGATATTTAGTATTTGGAAGCGACTTGTTTTGGACATATGGCACGTTGTTCTTGCTGTTTTGTCATTTCAGTTTTTTCTGCAATTTATTTGGCTTTATTCTTTTTTTGATGGTTTGTTTTTCTATTTATTTATTTCTGTTCATATTAGTCTATGAGAATCTGTTAGATCGGTTGACTAAAATTCTCATTACACACTTAAAATTGGGATATTTTATTCTGTTTTATCTTTTTTTTATAGGCATCCGTTGCTTTATTCCAGTATATTTTTTTTCTAAGTATTCTACTTTTCAAGCCTATAAATTACCAATTGCTTTCCCTTTCATCCCTAGATTATTTATCCATTTATTTATTCATTGATTTATTTATTTCATATTCTTTGGGTGTGTATTCCTTCCATGTCTCTATTTCATTTTCAGTCTTTTTTTTGTATTTCAATACAAAAAAAATTATTATTTTTTAAATATTTATTGAGCTGTTCTTTCTGTTCTCTGAGAAACCTCATTTTGGGGGGATATTAAGCTTATTTTATTATTTTTTAGCCATGAAAAATCTTAACTTTCACCATTTTCCTGCCTTTTTCTCATTTTACTTTCTTTTATGGTTGATATTTATCCTTCTTTTTTTTTGCGTCTCAGTTTCATTCACATTGGTCAACAGGGAAGGGCCCCATATAATTTTGTCCTGATACTGACATAAATTTTGACCCGTTTTTTTTTCTTATTTTTTTCCCTTTCTTTTTTTCTTCTTTTTTTTTTGTTGTCCTTTTTCCCTTTCACTACCCATGTTCTTCTTGGAGTATCCCAATGAAATTTGAGTATCACACTGTTCTCAAAAATTTAATTGCTCTTCTATTCTATGTAGTTTAATTTAATTTTTCAATTTTTGGACAGTTCATTTGTTTCCTAATTCTGAAAGAGTAATCCTTTTTCTACATATTATCTGGTTTTTTGAAGCATTTTTTTCATTACCGTGTTAATTTTTACTTACTCTATAACAACTTCCAATATAGGTAAAAATTGTGGGTTGGCCATAAACTGATGGGCCTTCCCTGTCCCTATTTCAGGACTTTATGTATCTGAATTTGCTTTCTATTTATTCAGTCATTCCAAATGACTCAATCATAATTTGGCAGAATAGGTATATCATAGCAGGAAAAACCTGGTAGTAGAATCGATCCCCAAAACAGGTAAAACTCGAAGGATTTGTGAATTGGTTTTAATTTCATGTATGTGGAACATAATTGCTTGTTCTCAGCACTCATAGAACGTTCAGATATATTTGTCGAGACCTTTTGTTCATGGATTTCCCTCTTTTTTTTTTGTTCGGAATCTGTTATCTATCATTTGGATGACTAGTTCATCACAAGATTCTGGGAATTCATGGATCTGGTGCTCTTGTTATGCATCTTTTCGTAGTCTTTTGGGTAATTAAGCATCGATATGCAGCACCTAAACATAGTGTTCTGCTGCTCTCTGCCTTTTCATGTTTGGTTTTGTTGTTTGCTGTTATGGAACTCTTTGCATTTCATATGTAAGTCTATAAACATTTGTTTCTATTATTCGTGACTGCATAGCTGGGATTGGAACCCAGGATCAAACTTTCTATTATCTGTATGTATGTATATATATTTTTGCTCTTTTCTGGATTGATAAGCTAGGATTCAAAACAAACATATATTATAAAACATTAATTCGTAGACATGCATTTCTTCCAATATTTTCCTTAAGCATGTTTAAACGCCGCATTTTACGAGCTTTCTCATAAAAGTTGCTCATTTTAGGCACGAGTGGTATGTCTTCCTTGGCATGGTGTGCATTGATATCTTATGTTGAAGTGTTTTAGTTTCAATTTTTGAGGATTAACTATGAAAACATATGGATTCTAGAATTGAAGGTGAACCAGAGAAGGTGGCCAAGAGGTCTTGAATTCAACTTCACAGCAACCATGAGTGATCCTGCTATCTACACCCAAGATGGAACTGTGGATCATACTGGGAAACCTGCAATCAAGGACAAAACGGGAAATTGGAAGGCCTGCCCATTCATTCTTGGTACGATTTACTAGCTAAAACATGGAGACTTTCATAGGCAATTAGGCATTTCTGATTATTAAATTCTTATTTCCTTTTTTTTTTTCGTATGCAAGATTACCTTGTCTAAAATAGGAGAATATTCATATGTAATTTGTCATTTCTTTGTCCTTTCTTATTTGAAATTTTAAGAATTTAAAACAATGGACATTTATCAAAAAGAATCTGGAAATATTCCTAGACAGTCAGTCGTATATATGAGTCTTTGTTTCTGAAATATGGAATTGGTCTAGTAAAATTAGGCTCGAGGCATTAAAATTTTTGTTCCTTCTCAGGCAATGAATGCTGCGAAAGACTGGCTTATTATGGAATGGGTACCAATTTGGTGAATTATATGAAGTATCGTCTTAATCAACCAAGTGCTACAGCTGCCAATAGTGTCACAAACTGGTCTGGAACATGTTACATCTTGCCATTAGTTGGAGCATTTGTGGCCGATGCTTACTGGGGCAGATACAAGGTCATCGCGGTCTTCTCTGCTATATATGTTGTTGTAAGTATCATCAATTGATTTCCTCAGATACATATACATATGTATGTAATATATGTATGCATGCATGCATGTAATTTTTATGCATGCTGCAAGTCGACCTATTTTTTTCGAACTTTGGTGGCTCCTGTTGGACATGTTAATTTGTCAAAAGAGTTATCAGGTAGAAATTTCCCAAATATTGTAAAGACAAACCCATATCAATACTGTTTATATGTCAAACGAAGACAAATATAAAATGGAAACACAAAAACATGCAACTTAAAACCCATTTAAATGCTTGGGCTACTGTGTGCATCTATAAATATGAAGGAACTATACAACATATTTATGCTTTTTGTCATGATATATCATCATATCCATTGAAATTCTTATTTGGTTTCTCAATGGGCGGCAGGGGATGACCTTACTGACTCTATCAGCATCTGTTGGAGGGTTGAGTCCTACTTGCCACTCTGGACAATGCCATGTAACCTCTGGACAAGTCGCAGTGTTCTTCGTGTCTCTCTACCTCATCGCCTTAGGAACTGGAGGTATCAAACCATGTGTCTCTTCTTTTGGGGCTGACCAATTCGATGAGGCTGATGAGTATGAGAAGAAGAAGAAGAGTTCTTTCTTCAATTGGTTCTATTTCTCTATCAATATTGGGGCTCTCATTGCTTCCTCTCTCTTGGTTTGGATCCAAGAGAATGTAGGTTGGGGTTGGGGTTTTGGGATACCGGCTGTGGCCATGGCAATCGCCATTTTCTCTTTCTTGGCAGGGACTCGGTTGTATAGGAACCAGAAGCCTGGAGGGAGCCCCATAACTCGTATTGCCCAAGTTTTTGTTGCTTCAATAAGGAAGTCTAGTGTCACGGTGCCTTCTGATAAATCTCTACTTTATGAGACAGCTGAGCAGGAGTCAGTCATTCAAGGGAGCCGGAAACTTGACCACACCAATGAGTTCATGTAAGTCTCACTATATCTTTTTAAGTTTATTTAATTGCCCCTTTGAGTATTCTCTTGATTCATCAATAATTAGCTATTAGAGAGAGAAGAGTCTTCCATATTTAGATATATACTACTCATAGAGTCTAGATTGTGTATTTTTATTGTTTGATCCATGACTAAACATCCACTAGTGCACTGCATAAATGCATTTCTACTGAAAGATCCATGTCTGTGGTTACTTTGAGTTTTGTTCCTTTGATAACTGGAGATAAATCACTGCAAGAAAGCTGTGACCGTTTTGGGGATGAATCATATCCCCTCTCTATCTCTCTCTCTCCTCCCCCCCCCCCTAACCAAAAAAAACAAAAGCCTTCCATGTAGAACAACAAAAGGATCAAAGAAACTCCAACTTCACTGGCCCAAATCTCAACAATTTTGCTCCTTTGATTGCAGATTCTTTGACAAAGCAGCTGTTGAGACCGAGGCCGATAAATTCAAGGGCATCCCAAATCCATGGAAGCTCTGCACTGTAACCCAAGTTGAGGAATGGAAAGCCATAATCCGAATCCTCCCTATTTGGGCAAGTGGCATCATCTTTGCAACAGTTTACAGTCAAATGAACACCATGTTTGTTCTTCAAGGAGACACAATGGACCCTCATATGGGCTCATTCAAGATCCCAGCTGCCTCTCTCTCTCTCTTCGACACACTCAGCGTTATATTCTGGGTTCCAGTCTATGACCGCCTTATTGTGCCTATGGCCCGGCGTTTTACAGGCCATGACCGAGGCTTCACTCAACTCCAGCGCATGGGCATCGGCCTTGTTATATCAGTTCTCGCCATGGGCTTGGCTGCTATAGTAGAGATCAAGAGGCTTGAGCAAGTTCGTATCCATAACTACTATGAACTTGACACCATACCCATGAGTATATTTTGGCAAGTGCCTCAATATTTTGTTGTTGGGGCAGCTGAGGTTTTCACTTTTATTGGGCAGCTTGAATTCTTCTATGATCAGGCCCCTGATGCAATGAGGAGTATGTGTAGTGCTCTCTCTCTCACTACAGTGGCTCTTGGCAACTACTTGAGCACTTTACTCGTGACTGTTGTGACCCATGTCACAACTAAGGGTGGAAAGCCTGGATGGATTCCTGATAACTTGAATTATGGCCATGTTGACTACTTCTTTTGGCTCTTGGCCATTCTTAGTGTGATCAACTTCGTGGTTTATCTTGGGATCGCAAACTGGTACACATACAAGAGGCCAACTGGGAACTTCAAATAAGTTGTTGATATGAAGGTGCTTTAAAAAGAGAGAGAGGGGATGCATAGTTTGGTTTTGCAGTTTCTTTTAGTTTGTGTATATACATTGGGGGTTATGGGGGCATTTGGCTGGGTGGGAAATGATCTAGATCTTTGTTTTTCATGTGAAAGATGGTTTCAGACAGCAGTTATAGAAAGGTTTTACTATTTATCCCTCTCTCTAACTTTAACCAGAGTAGTGTTATTTTAAAATTGATTTGAAATTTATTCGTGTTCTAAACAAATTCAAACTGTGAAGATCATTTATTATCGGGAGTTTGATCAACACAAGATTGTTTGGTTCGATTTTTCTGTTTATCAGTGAGATTGTGCAATTTTCAACTTTTCACTTAAGTTTCTTGCCTAAAATTCACTGGGTTTAAGCAATTGTTTGGTACTTCAAAGCCAGTGAAGTTTAGGCAATTTTGTCTGGCTGTTTGATTGCCTCTGCATATCTCTAAGATGGTGCATTCTATGTACACAGTACACAAACACGCACATTTCTAATCATTTTTTTCTTGTCTGTAGCTCCCTAGAGTTGCAGAACAAAGCCATTATAAAGAGAAGGGCTAGATGTTACTGTTTATCTCTTTTGTGTTAGCTCTCATAGTGTTTTTGAGAAAACACCTAAGAGAGAGACTCTTGAATACCTCTCTTCCATGTAGCTCCCTAATGTTCATCACAAAAGTAGGGGTGCAAGGGCTGACCCGACACAGGTCCAGGTTTGGACACAATTGGATCCCGTGCAAGTCCAAGTCCATCCCTTACATTGTTGGTTCGGGTTAGGTCTCGGCGTGACCTGATCTAAATATACATAATATACATACAGTTATACATTATTTGTCTATGTTAAAGGCGTATATAATAAAATTCATATACTATTTTTCATTTAAAATTGGGCCAAACCCAACATGGGGCTCGGGTCCAATGACCTAGACCTAACATAGAACCAGGTAGGTTTGGGTCTACCCGGACCCATTTACACCCTTGCAGAAAAGGGCCTGATATTCTAGATAAATTGAGGATCCACCAAAAAAGAAAATGTCATTGGTTAAATCGGAAATTTGTAGTGCTGTTTGCCCTTACATGTGTGAGTGAATTTGTCCTTACATGTGTGAGTGAATTTGTAGTGTTGTTTTGCTGTGAGTGAGGGAAGATGAGAGAGAGAGAGAGCAACTCGGTTGTCTTTATATCTGAATTATATTGTTTTTTTTTTCTTCCATGAGAGAGAGACTTTGGAAGAGAGAGAGTTTGGACAACTAATAATCAAAACAATTTCGAACAAATATAGAACAGATTGTAAATGACTTACATAAATAAGGGTGTGGTTTCTATTGAGGTTGCAAGTTGCAACCTTAAACAATCCAGTTACAACGTAACTTCAAATTTTATCATAACATGTAAAATTTGATATAAAAATTCTTAGGATCGTCTTAGAATCTATTTTTATATTTAATTATAAAATTTAAAATTTAAAAATAGTTAAATCAAATAAATCTATAAACATACGAAAATCTTGAAAATAGACAGTTTAGATAATATATTGCAAGATGTATTATTTTTAAGACTCAATATCCCTTTTTTTTTATATATATACATATTTATAAATCTCAATGTCGAGACGATCAATTGAAGAGTTTTTCAATATTAAAACAACCTTTTATGGATTTTTAAGATGCGTATTAATTCTACATTTTTAAATTGGAACCTTATATAAACTTTTTCCCCGTAAATTAATAATAATAATAATAATATATTTTCAAATTTATATATCAAAAAATAATACAATTTCATAAATCTATAAACACTTGAAAATAAACGGGATAAATAATGTATAATAATATACACTATTTTTAGAGCTTAAACTTTTATTTGTTTTCACAACCATAATGATCAACGTCGAGATAATCAAATTTGCATTTCCAACACAAACTATAATTTTCGATGAGTTTTGAAGTGAAGCTTTACTTTACTTTTTTTTTCCTATAAAGCCTAACTCTTATTTTAACCAACTTTCTCCCCCCAAAAAAAGTATATATATGACCTCATTAATAGGGATAATTTCACACCTCAAATGATTTTTTAAAGGGTTGCATCCTCGAATTATATTTTCCCTATTTTTTAAAAGAAAAGCCCCCATCCACTACAGTATGTAAAAGCAAAAAGCAACCAGCACTTTTTTGTTCACTTCGAGAGTGAGAGAGAGATTAAAAGTTCTAAAATTTTAGAGAGAGAGATACTTGTACAACAATCGCATGGAAAAAATTTAGAGAGAGAGAGAATCACATGTTGTAAAATGGGGTAGTAATAATATGAGGGATTAATTTGTCCAAAGAAGATATTTTCTTTTCCTTGGCATGTCTTTCGCAAACAAGGATTTCTACACATTGGGGACCGAGATTTATTTCCGAAAATCCAAATAAGTTGCCCTCGTGGGTAGAGATGTAATCCTTCCCGACCACTGGGGGCATATATGTAATCCTCCCCAAAACATTATCCTCCCTCACATGGACAATTTTTTAGTGTCTTAAAAAAACAGTGACCAGATAACCAAAATCCTTGGTGGCTCTCTAGAGAGAGAGAGAGTACACATTCAAGCCCATCTTCATCCACTTCTGTTGATCAAAACACAGAGAGAGAGAGAGAGAGAGAGAGAGAGAGCACTTCTGTTAACCAAACCAGCAGTGTCTCAACTCTCAGTCAAGAGATGAACAGAGTCAATGCCATTATCAACTCCTCTCCTTGAACCAATGAGAGAGAAAGAGAGATAGATTGTCTGCCTCTGTGTGTGTTAGAGAGAGAGAAAGAGAGAGAGATGACCACAGTGAAGCCCATACTCAGCTCCTTCCCCTACACAAATCCATCATCTCCCCCCAGACATTCCAGAATATCAAACCAAAGGAAAAGAACTCGTGTGCTCGTTGCCTGCAGCTCCAATGACACAGGCTCGTCGCCCCAAAACCCAGAAGGAGACGAGAAAACGCAGGATTTGCTTGCAAAGATTGCACATCTTCAAGCTCAGAAAGTGAGACTCACTGATTATCTTGATGAGAGGTCGGCTTATCTCACGCAATTTGCAGAGGAAGCCAATACTGAATTTGATGCCATTGCTGAAGATACACTCAAGGGACTTGACCAAGCAGAAGAAAGGGTTGGTTTCTGGTTCAGATAGCTGGGAAACTGGTAGTTTTGGTCCCGGAAGGATATGGGTTTTGTCAATTGAGCTGTAATATCAACTAGTACGTTGTAGTGCCAATGGAGTTGGGAGGAACTCACTGATCCTGAAGTTATGCAAGCACAACATAGAGAGAGAGAGAGAGAGAGAGAGAGAGAGACGTACAATAGAATAGAAGAAGAGAGAGAGTA